AATAAATTCAGAATTAATGTTAGCTTGTGTAGATGAGATAGAGAAGAACATTTTTGTTGAAAAGATGTGATTAGCAGTAGTTGGATGACACCCTGTCTCCACGGTATTACCAAATGTTTTCACTGAAACTAGTTTTGCTAATTGTCCACAAATGGACGATGAAAATTGTTAGTATGAAATAATAACAGTACTGGTTACTTTTTTTTTGCATCTTTAAATGACTGTGGAAGCAAATACAAAACGTAGCTTGTGCCACTAGAATAAAATGAGAGGCCAAAGGACAAACTCCTAAGAGTGCTGTGTTGGTCTGGTAGCTGGAGTTGTCAACCATTTACAGAAGGCAGTGTACCTGCAGGGCTAGCTCCCTTTTCGTCAGACAATAGAGGATTCAGTGTTTACAAAGAAATCGATTCTATGTTGCTTTATAAAAAGTTGTACTACATATTTAAGAGACACATTGACCAGCTTTAAAAAAAAGGATAAGCCAGCTTGTTGGTCTCTTGTGAAAAGATTCTTAATGTATTTGTTCAATGGTAAAATATTTTGCATGGTTTGAAAACAAAAAAAATTTTGAGAGGCTTTAGATCCATGACATATTCTCATTCATGTCATTAATAACTTTGACTTCAAGTTGGCTGAAGGAAGAAATGTGACAAAAATTTTAGACAATTCAAGTGATAACCTCGGTATTACTTATCATTTATAGTCACACAGTGGTAAGGTTAGCTACAGAGTTCAAAGTTTGATTCCCCTACACAACTCTGCAAATAACTATTTACCACAGCTTCCTGTGGTCAAGTATAGATGGTTCTTAATTTGAAATTTTTCAGCATGATGACTCAAAAGCCTACCCACACCACCACTCTGGTTATCACTTTCAGTACAGTATTCAATAAATTACGTAAAGATATTCAAACTTTGTATTTTAGGGAAGGGTCTACAGGGTGTTCCGGGTCTCACTACTAGATCGGACTCCTAGAGTGATCCTCCTGTTTACAGCCTCCCAAGAGCTGGGATTACAGGCGTGCACCACCACACCCGATCTCAAAACATTGTATTATAAAATAGGTTTTGTGTTAGATGTTTTCCGCCAGATGTAGACAAACGTAAATGTCTTAAGCTCTGAGAGTAAGCTAAGATGAACTGTGTCTTAGTTACTTTTCTGTTGTTGCTAAGACAAAACCTGACTCCCAGGATTAAAGGAGGAAAGGTTTATGGAGGTTTCAGTCCGTAATCAGCTGGCTCCAACGCAGGATGGCACATGCCACAGGGCAGCTGTTCATGGCAGTGGAACACAGCAAAAGCAAGAGCAAATGGAGGTGGAGCCAGAGAAAGCCTCTCCCTCCCTTGTGTTGTACACAGTCAATCTGCCCCAGGGCAGGTGGAGTACTCATACATGTAGTCCCAACAATGGACCATGAATCACAAAATTCTAGAACCCTGAGAGAACTGGGGGGCATCCTTGAGACTTTGGGGGGCATCTAGACACAAACCTTAATACTACGTTAGTTTAGGTGTGTCAAGTGCATTCATTTATTTATGATACAGGGCCTCACTATGTAGTTCAGGCTGGCCTCTAACTCAATTTGTAGCCCAGGCTGGCCTCGAACTCCCATAGATCCTCTTGCCTCAGCCTCCTGGGTGCTGGAATTACAGGTGTGTGCCACCACCCCTAGCTAAATGCATTTTTTAAATATTTATTTGGTACAAGGTCTGCAACTGCAGCTCAGACTTGTAATGATCCTCCTGTCTCAGACTCCACTGGGACTACAGGGGTACACCATACCCAATTTCAGTGGCCAGCATGACACACTCGATTCCGTGTCCAGCATGCAGTACCAGAGATCAAACCAGAGTCCTTGCACTTGCCAGGCAGGCACTTAGACCACTGAACTAGCCCCCTAGCCCCCTAAATGCATTTTTGACTTAAGGTATTTTTGAGTTACAGTTGGTATATGGGAACATGACCCCATCATAGATTTGAGGAACACCCATAATAGTACTAACCCCACAAAGCAGTCCTGAGAATGAGGTAGTGCACATAAACTATGCATAGCTCTTACTGTTAGTCATTAGCTTATCAGGTTGTGGCAAATGGCAGAAATTGTCAGTTGTTACCACCTTTCCTATTTGATGTTGAGGCTTTGCAATTTTATTGGACATTCACGCTTTGCCGGATAACTACAGTGTTCTGTGATTGCCATCCTTGAGCAGGTAGGTCAGTTAAGTCTTATGAAGTATTGGGGGCCCTCTCAGCCAGAAAAATTACATTGAATCTTTTTCCCCACAGCTCCACCAGCACTTGTTACTGAGTGATTTCTTGATGATAACCATTCTTTTTGGGGTGAGATGGAACATCAGTGTTGTTTAATTTGCATCTTTCAAATAGCCATTGGTGTTGAACATTTTTTCATGTGGTTGCCATTTGTATGTCTTCATCAGTGAAGTATGTATTCATCTCAGATTCCCATTTTTGGATTGGGTCTTTGAATTTGGGGGCTCTTGTTTTTTTTCAATTCTTTTTATATTCTTGCAGCCTTCTTCACTGTTGGTGGGAGTGTAGACTGGTGCAACCACTGGAAATAAGTGGAGATTCCTTAAAAACACTAGGAGTAGAGGTTCCGTTCGACCCATCTCTTCCCCTTTTGGGTATCTTCCTAGAAGAGTTAAAAACATCATACCACAGCAATATATGTGCACCCATGTTTATAGTAGCACAATTTGTAATAGCTAAATCTTGGAAACAATCCAAATGCCAATCAAGGAATGGATTTGTAAAATTTTTTTTAATTTTTTATTTTTTGGATACAGGGTCTCACGATGCAGCTTGAACTTGTAGTGATCCTCCTGTCTCACCCTCCCCAGCACTGGGTTTTTGTAATATAATGGAGTACTAGTCAGCCATAAAGAAGGATAAACTGGAGACTTTTCATAGGTAAATGGATGCAACTCAAGACCTTACTCATAAGTGAAATAGATCAGACCCATATGTGTAAACATCATATTGTCTCACTAGTGTGAGAACTGAATAAGATCCAAAATGTACAATAGATATTGTGAATTGGGAAGAAAAACTGTTCAAAACAAGACAAACTGAGATGGAAAGGGAAAAGGAAGAAAGGGGAAATATAT